TTTTCAATGACCATCCATACTTTGGTCTTTTGTAGCTTCCTTCACACCAGTGTTGTCATCTGGCTGCTTTCTTCACTACTGAGTTAATGGATTTTTGACAAATGTTGACTATATACCTGTATGACAGTTGTTTTTAACTTTTTTTAAATGATGCCTTGACAGAACAACTTGGGAGGAATGCAACAAGTCTTTGATGACTGACATCCTTACAACAGACTCTAATGGGGCCCTTGGATGGAGAAGTTTGAATGGGAGAAAGGAAGAGAAGAAAAGCACTAGAAATATAGCCCTGCTCTTGGGAAGGGCAAGGCTCTTTCTGGAGAGAAGAGAAACTCAGTATCTGTATCTGAAAGACTGAAAAACAGTTTGAACGCTTCAGGTAGTAGAAGAAAGGACAGTGTGTTGACTAATATTTTATCCCCCGGAAAGCCCCCCAGTGCAGATCTTCAGCTTTAGACACCGGCATAGGCACCAGGGGAACTGGAATAGGGAACTCTGGGGTTAAGGTCTGTGTGGCAGAGGCTCCCCAAGATCTGTGTTTAATCCTTCTTTCAGAGAACACTGCTCAACCACTTTTCTCAGTCTTCTTTGAAGTTCATAGTGGCCATGTGACCGGGCTGCAATCAATAAAATTTGAGGGAAGGTTTTGAGTCACCTCCAGACCTGACCCATAAAGACCTGGGAGTGATTCTCACTCCCTTTTCCCATGTGCTGGCAGAATGAAAAGGGCTCTGAGGACTTGAAGGAAGGTGCAACCATTTAGTGGAAGGGACTTAGTCTCTGCAAGACTGTGTGGAGCAATTTCCTTTCTGACCTACACTGGAAATAACCTTTCAATGGGTTAAGCCATGGAGCTTTGGGGATTGTTTGATAAGCAGTTAGCCTACCCTACTTGTTAGAGGCCTCAACTCACATCTTCCTCTTTCCAGAAGTCCTCTCTAACAATTCCAGTTCACAGTGACCTTAGAACTGTTAACACATGCCATCTGATTCATTAAACCTGGTGTTTAATCATGTACTTTTGTGTGTTATGATTTAAACTAAATATTACCCAAACTGCATTCCATGGAACACTACCATTTAAGATAATGTTGCTAGGTATTCCATGGAAAGGGGTTCCATAAGTAAAAAAAAAAATTGAGGGACATTAGGTTGAATGAGTCTCATGTTCGCAGGACTTGCCAAAGTCCCAAATGAGATAATGGGACTTGCATATGCTTAAAATGCAGTTCTAGAATACACTGTTTCTCATTTTGATCATGAGAATTTTTTTCCATAGATTACAGTTTGGGAAGCATGCATATGACCCTTTCACTTGTGTGTGTGTGGGTGGGTGTATCTATATATCTATATCTTATGCCTTCTATGAGGTTACAGTTCATGAGGAAGTGAATTTATTTTTCTCTGATGCTCTGTGCTCAAAGTATGAAACACCATGCACACAGTTCTATAGTATCAGCGTCAAAAACTTGGCCTGGGGAAGAGGTAGGTGGAAGGTTTCAAGGAGGCCAACATATGAGTTGGGCCTTAGGACATGAATAGAGGTTTTGTAGCAGGGAAAGAACAGGTGAGCAGATAAGGAAAAGCATCCCATGTGAAGGAGACCCCATAGACAGGCCCACAGAGGCTAGGGAATGGTCAGAGAAAGGAGACTCAGTCTTAGCATGGAAATCAAACAGACCACTTGGATTCTGACTTGGTAAATACGTAACCTGTAAGCTGTAAAGTTGTAACCCAGTCACCTCTGGCACCCCCTTTGGAAAGAGTAGACGCCACTCCCTCCTGTACCCCACAACTGGAGGCCCCTGGAGGACAGGGGTCATGTCTTATGAATCATTTCAGCTCCCCGTTCCTTTACATAGCCTGGGACGCAGGTCTCCCTTTCTGAAATTTCTCATCTGAATGAGAAAACACAACGCTCCCAGGATGGCTATCACACCTAAATTTTAAAAATGCCGGTAAAGCATTTAGCACATTGACTGGCACACAGTCTATGCTCAAGAAATGCGAGCTGCCAGGATCACTTGCTTAGTAAATAGTTGGGGAAGGGAGGAAGGCAGAAGGTGAGGATGGAGGGCAGGACACTGGCAACAACAGAAAGAAGGCTGAGTGGAATGCAGCTATCTTATTTCATTCTCCCACTTAGCTAACCCTGGGAGGCAGATGCCTTTTACCCTCTGTTGCAGGAACAATCCTTCCTTGGCTGCATTTCTCAGAGTGGTTATTTTGGAGACCCTGAAGTGAGATATTGAGTTAAACATCAGCGCACACTGCCAAGGGCAGGGGAGCATACTGCAGCGGGGACAGAGTGGAACAGAGGGTCCTTTCGGGAAGAACACCCGCCACTTCTCACACATGGCAGCCAAGGCCTGTGGGGCCTGAAGGAGTGTGGGGAAGCACTCTGGAGGGTTTACTCTGTCCTTGGCCCATTGGTTCCCAGGCTCTGATGAAGGAACAGAGAGAGCCTGGCCTCCTCAGTGGGAAGACCGTGTACCTGACAAAATTGTTCTTTTATGATAAAATTCATCAGAGCGAGAGGCCAGGGAACCAAAAATGTGGGCTGGGTCTGTAAGGAGAAATGAATTCCAGGGAATTTGAAGACCAGCTCATCTGCCTGAAGAGACACAAGGATAAGAAGATGGAAATGTCCACATCTGTGGCCTCTTCCCTCTTTCCCCTCTGCCCCAAGGGAGCAGCAAGTATAGCCAGTGGAAGGGTCTTGGGTTAAGGCAGGAAGCGTGGAGGCTGGTAAGAGGAGGAAACACCCTGATGGGCTGCTTCCATGGGCTGGGTCAAGGTGGCCAGATGGCTTTTCCAGAGGAATGATCTCTTTGCAGACGCTTTGCTCCCAAGGCCCACAGCCAAAGACCCGTCGAAGGGGATCTGGAGCCTCTTCTGGAGCGCGTCTACTGCCCCTGGGCCCCACAGGAGAAGGCTGCACCATCCCCAGGAAGGTGAATGGGGATCAAAATCCTCCAACCTTACCTTTAGGTTTTTGGGGGAGAAGGTGCTTAAGTATATATTTATTAGGAGACTGAAATATGATTCCTATCCTGAGCTAAGTAGTTTCACAAGTAAGAATCAAGGAAGCTATGGGGCATCCTTGTCAAGATGCACAGGCCAGAAAACTAATAGGGAGACTAGAAACATGCTTGCCATTGGGGGTTGCTTAGTAAGTTATGGCAATGCATGAAAAATTATACATATAATAGTTGTATAATTTAACAGTTTAAAATTTTAATAATTCATATTAATGTCTAATTAGTAGAAAGAGAGATGGGGGAAAGAGATGGGGAGAGGAGGAAGGAAGCACACCAAAATTAACACCAATTATTTCAGGACAGTGTGACAATAGGTGATTTTTTTTTTCTAGTTTCAAGTCTGGGTGTCAGGAGGGAATTCACCTTTGTTTCTGTTAATAAAATAGTTTCTCACTGTAAAAAAAAATGCAGAATACCATCAAGAGGAAAAGAGAAATAACTGGAATCATGGGTGATCTTCATTTTCTTCCCTCATGCTTTTCTGTATTTTTAAGTCCACTATGAGGGATTTACTATTTGAATGAAAATAAGCAACATGTGTTCATATTTTAAAAGACCAGCCAACTCCAGAAATAACTCTCTCTTTGTCTCTGGGAAAGCACTGGAATTTCTGCTACTGGGCTGGACCTTTGTCTTCTGGCTCTGTGAGCACCGGGGTAAGAGTCTTAAGACCCAAAGATTAGCACAGGACCTTAGAAAAGTCATTTACTCTCACTGGGCCTCAGTGAATCTATCTGTAAAATGGGAACATCTGCTTTGCTTCCTGCAAAGAGCCTTTGTGAAGATCAAGTTCACAACTTACTCAACTGTGAAGACCCACAGAGATGTAAAAAAACAGACTCCAGATGAAATGTAGACACTCTCACTCAGTTACACTAAACCACTAGAAATGAAAACAGCTTCCAAGTCATTTAAAGATGAAGAAGCCATTTGCCTGGGCAGAGATTAAGTGACAGCCCATGTGATGGTGGCACTTTCCACCTAAGGAGGATGTCAGAACTGGCCCTCGTCCTGAGTCCAGCCTGAGCTGCTCCTCCCCGGAATCCTCCACCCCCACAAAAAATGGTGAAGTTCCCCCATCCTGGTCTTCTTCTCAGAAACCAGTAGGGGACCTGCTCCCCTGCCCACCAGACACAGGACACAGTCTGAGTTCTTTGTCTGGTATATCAGACCTTTTTTTTTTTTTATTACTTTTTTAAAGATTTATTTATTTATTTGAGAGAAAGAGAGAGAGCAAGCATAGGGAGGGGCAGAGAGAGATTTTAGCAGACTCCTCGTTGAGCTCAGCTCAGAGCCCAGTGCAGGGCTTGATGCAGGGCTCAATCTCACGACCCTGAGATCAGGACCTTGAGATCATGACCTGAGCCAAAACCAAGAGTCAGATGCTTAACTGACTATGCCACCCAGGGGCCCCACATCAGACCTTTTAAAATCTGGCCCTTACGCCTAATGCACTAGCCAGTCATTTCAAAATATTCTGCATTTCAAAATATTCTGGATACTTTCAGGACACTGGGTCTTTGCACAATACTGTTCCCTCAGCATCTTCTACTCAGGGTTTAGGATCTAGTTCCAATGTCACCACTGCCCTGCTGTACCTGGCAGAGCTGTTAGTGGTTTACTGTTTCCCAAACCCCTGACTTAAACCTCTGTAGTTGTCTGAAGACAGAAAGAAAGATGATTTACATATATATGTGTGTTTGTGTGTATGTGTGCATACATACATACATATATATACATATAAACAACAGTTTCCGGAGGCCAATCCATATTTGCGCCAACGATAATAACGACCATGATAACCATGGCAGTGATGATGTATAAGAAGACACCCTACAAATGTCTGTCCTACAAGCAAACAAATGAAGACACATTCCTGGGGATCAGGGAGTGGAGTAGGGTCAGGGAGGGGAGCACTGAAAGGCTCTGATTGGAAGGGCCACCGACACGGAGACTCACAGGATGGTCTGCATCCAGTTCTGCTCCATAGCTGAGAATCTGATTGGCAAATCTGTCGAGCTCTTGAATGGTTCTTGGGAACCAGGGCACTGAAACACAGAAAGGGCAAAGTCCTGAGCTGAAGATTGGCAGGACATGGCCAAAGGCCTCACCAAGGTCAGAAGCATGGATCAGCCCCAATTAGACAAACCAATGGGGGGAACATGGGGTCCCATATAACCCCCAACTTACTATAATACAAAAGTTAACTCCCATTTTTCTTGGAAACTATAATTTTTTTTTAATTTCAGCTTTGTGGAGGTTAACCTGACAAAATTATAAGATAAAGTATACATCATTGAAATTTGACATAGGTACACATTATGAAAGCATTTTCCCCATCTAGCTAATTAACACACACATATTTATTTTTCGGGGTTAGTAAAAACATTTAAGTTCTACTTTCTTAGCAAGTTTCAATTATATAATACAGTGTTATTGACTATAGTCACTATGTCTTACACTAGGTCCCCAGATCTTACTCACCTTATAGCTGAAACATACCCTTTTACCAACCTCCCCCTCTTTCTCCCAATCCCCAGCCCCTGGCAATCACTTATCTACTGTCTGTTTCTATGAGTTTGGTGCTTTTTTTTTAGGTTCCATATATAAGGAATACCATGCATTATTTGTCTCTGTCTGGTTTATTTCACTTAGCACCTTAGAAAATAATTTTAAAACATCTTCCCAAACATACTCTTTTTCCTGAAGATTTTCTCTGAATTATCTCAAAATTTACCTCCCTCCCACCTATTATGGTATAGTGGGGTGGTTTTTGATGGTTTTCTTTAGTAGCAGAGTATTACATGTAACCCCAGAATATAAATCAGATAAAACCAGAGCTGTTCTGTTTTATGCAAGGATAAGCCCATGAGACCCCATCTTCCTATCACATATCTCCTTCCCAAAGTTTCCCAGGCATCATCCTGGCAGAATCTTTGATGCCTAAGCCAATTTGAAAGTCGCTGATGAAACAGAATGGAGTCAGGCAGTTTAGGATTTGACAGTGCCTTGTAGCACCTAAAGAACCTACAGGCTTGCTTTTGGAGTAGCCTAGTGGGGGAGTAGATGAGGCCTGAGCTGTGTGGCCTACGGGGAAGAAGACACATGGAGGGTGGAATTGTTCCAGGAATGAACAGAGTCTAGGACATTTTGGACTGAAAGGTCCATGAGCGGAGAAACCATGAGTGCCTTGCAGTTCAGGTGCCCGGAGGAGAGGGAGGGCTTGGGGGTGGGGGGTGAGAAGCGATGGAGGAAGGAAGGAAGGAACGAAGGAACGAAGGAAGGAAGGAACAAATGAACGAATGAACGAATGAACTCTGGGCATGCTAACTTGTAAGGCATTCACAACAGTAACTACAATCCATGGAGCGCCAACTCTGGTCTAGTTGCTGTTTCTGATTTCTGAAGCATCTCCAAAATAAGAAGGCATCATGATCCCTATTGTACAGATGAAAAACTGCAGCTGTGAAAGTATAAATAACTAGCTGAAGGCCACACAAGAAGTAAGAAAGTGGTAGTTCCAGGACATGGGAGGCTAGGGGAGCCAGAAGGGAGGCCAAGGCATCCAATGCTTCTTCCCCTGAAACGAGGTTTAGAGGAAAAGATGCTGAACTTGGAATCAGTAAGGTCTGGCTTGGAATCCAGGCTGCATCTACTTGCTTTTGCTCTCTGTGCCTCAATCCTAACTGTAAAAATGAGAATAATAGCCACAATAATAGAAAGAGTAGCAGATGTTTTTTGAAGCTTTACCACGTGCCAGCTACCACCGTGCTTACCATTTTGGTGGAATATCTCTTTTAATCTGAGTATTGCTGTGAGGAGTACATGGGAATGCGGGCAAAGGGCGCAGCACAATGTCTCGCCCATAAAAGGAAGCTTCTCATCTCAGGCAGGTTGTTTCGGATTCTGGCCCTGCTCAGGTGGGGCGGGAAAGCACACGCTTGCCATCTAGTGGCCAGACTGGGGAAACGCCACCCGTGATGACATCGAAGAAGCCCGCAAGAAATCAGCCACATTCCACCAAAACGAGATGCTTATTTCAACAGCATTAACAAAGGGCCATTTAGAGCCTTGTTTCCATAGACGTGGGGTGCAAGGCTGTCTGCCCCATATATGAGTGATAAAAAGTAACACTGAGTGCTGTTCTAAATATTTCACCTGTGAGGCGGGTACTATTGGTCTCCCCAGATCACAAATGAGGAAGCTGAGGTACAGAGAGGTTAGGTGGCAAACCCAAATACAGGTTTTCCTCTACTTGGAAACAGAGGAGTCAGGATTCAAACTCAGGCCTGGATGACTCGGTGGTTTCCATTGTGACCATGAATCCACCCTGCCACTCTGGGGGTTAGAGCACATTGTTAGCTGGGCTCTGGAGCCTGACTGCCCGAGTGTCCTCGCCGTCTACCACCTGGAGGCTCCATGCCCCTAAAGCCTAGCCCACTTCTCAAGGCTGGCTCTCTGTGGTCAGTCACAGGAACAGACCTTGCAGTCGTATGCCAGCTAAGCCTTATCTAGCACTGGCTAGCTGACAGGCACTGTCCTAGATGAGTTATTTACCACCTCACCCAAATCCACATAGCAATCCCAGGAGCTGGGTGTTATTACTATCCCCATTTTATAGATGAGGGTGTGGAGGAACAAGGAGGATAAGTCTCTTCATAGACCTCCTGGGTCCTTACTTCTAGACTTTGGAGTCTGAGATGACTCAACACCAGGCTCTGCTCACTTAGCACAGCACCCGGCTTCCCACTTTGTCTCCGGAACATTCTCCAGGCTTTTTTTTCTTCTTGAGCCCACTGCTTTATCTTGTACAATAGACCTCTGTTGTCAGCACTGAAAATGGGGTCTATTCCTTACTCAGGTTTGGAAGGACTTGAGAAAGGACATCTACTGTAGTCAGCCAGGGCTCAGGATCCCCTCTGAGACCTTTCCGGCTTCCCCAGAATGTCACCATCCCATCACCTCTCTTCCAGGGCACCCCTTCCCCACTCATTCGTTCTCTCTCTTGCCTGAGAATCATCCATAATTCCAGCAGTCACAGTTGACCACAGAGACAGGGCAAGCCAGCCTTGTGTTGCTGTCACCAACCTTCTGACTTGGGGCACCCTTCACCTTGTCGAAATAGATTCCACAAATAGATATTCAGCACCTACTACTAGGACACTAGACACTGAGGGAGTCTTCACCTCTGCGGTGCTTATGTTTTATTGGGAGTGGGCGGCCAGAAAGAAATAATAAATACATTTAAATAGATAACAATGCCAGGACGTTCTTGAAGAAGAAAGTGGGGTAAGAAGATGGAGAGGGAGGGGGATACTATTTCATATATCATTCTGTGACTCCAGACCCCAGAGGGAGGGTCTTGGTGCCCTGCCACTGCCTTGCCATAGCTCAAGGGGATCTGGGATAGCCATGGCCCGTCCTTAGTCCAGAACTGGCTCCCCATTTGTCTCAGGGAGAGTCAGTCTGGCAATCATCAAGACCCAGCACAACAGGGCCGGCCACCTCCGGCTGGAATGCTGTCTCTGTACTTACTATCTGTGGCACCCAGAACAAAATTGGAAACGTCTTTGTGCCTCAGTCTCCCTAACTGTAAAAATGGGGATAATGATAGCACTATACCGTACTACTTGATTGGAACAGTATAAAATTAAGCAAGTGAATATGTGTGTTCACTAAGAACAGTACTGGTACATGGTAAATATGGTTACTGTTCACTTGCAAGCTCCTGGGAATTTTTGTTAACCCTGACCTTAGCTTAGAGAGCAGAGTAGAAAGTCTTCAGGCGAGACTAGAAAATCCGCTACTTACTTTGTTGTGTAATTGAGCAAGTATTTTATCTCTCCGAGCTTTAGTGTTTTATCCACAATATGGATTAGAATCATCTTTCTATATTACTTCATTTTTGCATGAATTAAATACTATAGCAAATGTGACACATCTCAGCACAGTGAGTGGTCCGCTGTAAGTGCTTTTCTGTACTAACCATGAGGGTGATGAAGAATTTAATCATGGTGATAAAAAAGGAAGAAAAAGAAGGAAGAGGAAGAAGAAGAGGAGGATGAGGAAGGGAAAAGGAGGAGGAAGAAGAAAGGAAGGAGGGAGAGGAAGAGGAAGAGGAGAGAAGGGAGACTGGGGTCAGAAGCCCGTTCACAGTCAAGCTCTGGTACTAACAGGCTTTCTAATCTTGGGCCTCAGTTTCCCCCTTCTATACAACGTGGGGTATTGGATTCACTTGTTGCTGTAATCCCTTTTGGGTTTTGTATTTCAAGCCCTACCAGAATGCTGTGAAGGGCTGAGGCTGGCCAGAGGGGATGTGAAAATATACTTCTAGTTCATTCAGTGTGTCCATCTTGCTTGCTTCTGGAAATATAGTCACTGCGTTTGTTCGGCCCCCAAAATGCATGGCACCTCCCATTTCCCCTTCTCCTCTCACCAAAGGAAGTAGGTTCTACTCCACAGATACAAGTGTTTTTGCCCCACCTGCATTCAGAGCTGTGTGTGCGGCCGTCTCCCCACTGAACGCCAGAGGGCAGCAGAACCGACATTTTTTTCAGCTCTGGGGGTTTTGTTTTTTTTTAGCTCTTCCAAAGGGGGAACACTAGTTGGACCAACTGGCTTAGTTCAGACCTCTAGGTGGAAAAGAAAAAAAAATCAAAGAACGTGAGAAGATTGCAAAACCTCAAAGGATTCAAGTCTTGGCAAAGAGGAGACAAAGGTGGGAGCAGCCCACCAAGCCCCAAGCCCTTGTCACCGATACTGTGAGGGACCCCCAGGCAGCACTGCAAGGCTGTGGGATGCTCACCCCTGTCCAGGGAACTCTGGTCACCACCCAGAAAAGGCCCAGAACACAGCCAGGTTGGAGAAGCAGCAAAGCTTGGTGGGCTAATCATACAGACTTCAGAGCCAAATCACCTGAGTCCAAATCTTGCCTCTGCTACTTGGTAACTTTGGCCATGAAGCAAGCAGTGTGAAGACCCAGGTACTAAAGGGAAGGAGACTACAAGAGGACCCCAGACAAAACAGGACCAAGTCTTTACCTTTTTGT